GTGTGTGTGTGTGTGTGTGTCTGAGTGTGTGTGTGTGAGTGTGTGTGTGTGTGTGTGTGTGAGTGTGTGTGTGTGTGTGTGTGTGAGTGTGTGTGTGTGTGTGTGTGTGAGTGTGTGTGTGTGTGTGTGTGTGAGTGTGTGTGTGTGTGTGTGTCTGAGTGTGTGTGTGTGTGTGTGTGTGTAAATATATAAATAAAAATAAAAAAACACACAGACACTAATTCATAAAGACAATATACCGATTAAAAGCCGATTTTCCATTTATTTTTTGAAAGTAGTACAAGAAACACAGTGAAAACAGTAATATTGAGAGACATTATTACAATTTAATTGTTTTCTATGTGAATAAAATTTAATTGATTTCTGTGATCAAAGCTGAATTTCAGCATCATTAGTATTTTGTGTCACATGATCCTTTAGAAATCATTTAAAAAATCTATTTAAAATAAATGCTGTTGTTTTGAACTTTCTGTTCATAAAAGAATCCTAAAAAATGTATTTACACGAATAAACTACGTTTTACCACATAAATAGAAAACAGCTTTTTTAAATGCTAATAATATTTCACAACACGAGCAGAAGGGACTTCAGACAGATAAAAAAAAAATCTTAATTAATCCTTTTTTTTTTTTGACTGATGGTGTCAAAAAAGTGCCAAATTTAACTATATTTAAACAAAAATAAATAAATGCATTTTTTTTTAAACATAAAAGCTCTGCTATCAATGTATAATTGTCATTAAATAACAAAAAATATCAAAGTGTCATTAATTTAAAAAAGAAAAATAGCATAAGCTCACTTTTTTGGCCAAAGGTGATTTATTAGTTAATATAATTCATTCATTGAGCAAAAATGATGTTGGAGTTCTGAGAAAAAATCCTTTAGATTTTTTATTCTGTTGATATTTTCTTCTACAATGAATTGTATGTGACATACGTGTGTCTAAATATTGTTGGGCCTTTCTATATCTATATAGTATACAGATTGTTGCATATTTCATACTATTTTTCATACTGAATTTAATAAAATAACAGGCATTATACAGTAAGTATACATATTACATTCAAGATTTCCATTAGTGGATATATTGCTGCTGCATAAAGGCACACAGTATACATACTACAGTATATGCTGTATATACTATACACTCTCAGAAAAAAAGGTACAAAAGTTGTCACTGGGGCGGTACCTTTTCAAAAGGCACACCTTTGTACCTAAAGATTCCATATTAGTACCTAAAAGGTACAAAAGTGTACCTTTTGAAAAGGTTGTAAACAAAGTTGCAGTGCCAGTTTGAAAGGTTTTGTGTATTAGGTGTGTGTTGCATATGTTATTATCTGACCATCTGTGCCCAGAGGTAATATTCTCTGAGGAAACAGACCAAATGAATCAAAAATTATTTATAATGCTTGCTCATGTGGAGAGGGAAGTGATACTGAAGCCATTTATAAATCAGTTTAGAAATCGTAAAATGAACGAAAGATTGTGTTTATGGACACTGTTCGCTATTAAACACGTGCTGATATGAGTGTATCTGTTACACAAAACACAACCACACAGATTTGCATTATGTACCAGAAAGAAGGACAATATTCAAATGCATAAAGGTTTGAAAGAACAAAAGATCATCTTATATAAACTCTGTGTCACAACAGAAGTGGATTTATCTTCATACTCTCAGAGCCAGAATAAAGCGATGACAAGAAACAGGAAGTAGATGTTTCCTTTCACTGAAACTGTGTGGAAATACTGATCGAGCAGGGCTTCACTAGACAACTGGACACTCGCGATAGAAATTTCCATGGCGTTTACATTTCAATGATTCATTTCAAAACTCCCTGATATTTCCTGGTTGCTCGTGACTGTGGGAGCCTCCAGGCTGCAGTTTATATTTTTGCCTGAAGCTATAGACAGACTCGTTCCTGAAGAGTCACAGACATAATTGTTACAGAAGTAATTTTGTGTCCACCCAGATTGACCTGATTATCACCAGAGCAACAGGTTCATTTCATAACGGATCATTTATTTACCCACTATCATGTCCTTCATCTTCAGCACATCTTTTCTTGCCTTTAAACCTATAGAGTTTATGCTCTTAATAGTGTAGAGATGTTAGTTTAACTATACTTGAAACACTGTGAGATACATATATGTATCAATTATATGTATATAATATTTATTTTGCATTTTTAAATCATTGACTACTAGGACTACTAGTTTTTTTTTTTTTTCATTGGCTGGACAAATCACAATTAACATACTTAATTTGACACAAAAAAAAAAAGACAAATCTCTCTTTTTAAAAAAAAAATTTTTTTTTAAATAATTTCTTCTAGATAAATCCAAATCATTCATAAGAATCAATGCTAATATGCAAATAATTCTTTAGCATCCGACCAAAAAAGCTGAATATTTAAAGATAAGACAAATGCAAAAGAAATATATGAGACTTAAGGCATCAATATTCTCAGATTTGCACAATATATCTCATGAAGTTTCATGTCACGTTGTTGCATAATGTAAAAGATCAGCGTTCCATTGATCTTCCTCCTTTCTCCTGTGGAAAAAAAAAAAGGAAAATAAATGTGAAAAATAAATAGAAACATTTAGTATTTAATCAGTTCTGAAAGAACAGTTCATTCTAAAAATGTCACAAATCTGTCCAAAACCATACTGTGGAGCACAAAAGATGATGTTCGAAAAAAATAAGCCCTGCAGCACAAAAGCAGTGTTAAGTCGCTGGGGTATATTTGTAGCAATAGCCAAAAATACATTGTATGGGTCAAAATTATACATTTCTCTTTTATGCCAAAAATCATTAGGATATTAAGTAAAGATCATGTTCCATGAAGATATTTAGTAAATTTCCTACCGTAAATATATCAAAACTTAATTTTTGATTAGTAATATGCATTGCTAAGAACTTCATTTGAACAACTTTAAAGATGATTTTCTCAATATTTAGATTTTTTTGCACCCTCAGATTCCAGATTTTCAAATAGTTGTATCTCAGCCAAATATTGTCCGATCCTAACAAACCATACATCAACGGAAAGCTTATATGTAAGCTTATTACAGATGATGTATAAATCTCAATTTTAAAAAATTGAACCTTATGACTGATTTTGTGCTCCAGGGTCACAAATGTCTAGGAAAAGCGTCATTAAATCATTTTTGCGTTGGACTTTTTGCTGCAGCCTGAAATTGAACTGCTGGTTTTGTCTGGTCAGAGGAGAACTGGACCCCCGACTGAGCCTGGTTTCTCCCAAGGTTTTTTCTCCATTCTGTCACTGATGGAGTTTTGGTTCCTTGCCGCTGTCGCCTCTGGCTTGCTTAGTTGGGGACACTTCATTTCCAGTGATATCGTCGACTTGATTGCACAGATACTATTTAAACTGACCTGAGCTGGATGATGACATCACTGAATTCAATGATGAACTGTCTTTAACTGAAAAATTAGTGTTTACTATTGTCATTTTGCATTATTGACACACTATTTTCCTAATTAATGCTGTTCAGTTGCTTTGACACAATCTGTATTGTTAAAAGCGCTATATAAATAAAGGTGACTTGACTTGACTTGACTTTCATGTTCATTATGCAAAAGAGATGCATGAAGATTTGAATGAGTAAACATGACAAAACTTTCATAGTTCAGCACTTTGCAATTCGGAGACTAAATCCATTGAAAAGCCAGACGTGTTTCGACACATCTCGTGCTGAACTAAGTGTAGCACCAAACCACAGACGGACTCATGCTGGTCAAGAGCAGAAGTTGGACAGATGCTTTCCTGAATCTCAATTCTGGCTGACTGTGCGGTCATGACTCATTTTCCTTTAGCCACATTTTTAAAGAAACACATATATTACAGAAAAAGACGAAGCACCACTATCCCAGCACTTCCTCTACTTCCCCCATTCCTCTAAACCCAGCTTCCTGTTGATGTAAAAGAGTCGGATCAGGCTTCCCAACAGAAAGCCGGATGCGAGTCCAACGCTCCGGGCTAAAAATAATATCCCACACAGCTGCGTATGACTATTGAGAATATATCTGGGTGAAATGTGCTTATATTTAAATAGTAAGAGAAGCTGCAAGCAACCTCAGGACAAATACACAAATGAGTCGAGACGAAACGTTACAATGACTCTTTATTTCCATTTCAAAAATACAGTTTTAAAACACATATTGACTTCATGCTGGCTTATTTAATTACTGCTCGTCACTCCCTCATGTAAATATCATGACTGTTGGAGCTCTATAAATGTCCAGTTAGTTTGCATACAGAAGTAAGCTGTTTTCTATGGAAGCTGGTTTATGCCACGGAATTTTTTTTTTTTATTTATCTCACAATTTGGACTTTGTTTTTGCAATTCTGAGACAAAAGTCAGAGTTAAACAGATATAAACAGATGCAATTCTGATTCCGCCCCCCCCTCGCAATTCTGTTTACATCTAGCAATTCTGACTTTCTTCTCAAATTAAGAGTTTATATTTTGCAATTTTGACTTTTTTCTCACAATTCTATCTTTACATCTCGGAATTCTGTTTTGTTTTTTATCACAACAGAATATAAACATAAAAAAGGTAACTGTGAATTTTCTCTCACAATTCAGAGTTTATATCTGACAATTCTGACTTTTCTTCTGTAAATTGTAAACTTATATCTCGCAATTATGACTTTTCTCTCAGAATTGCGAGAAACAAAGTTGAAACTGTGAGATAAAAAGTCACAATTACCATTTTTTAATGATTATTTGAAAAATATTTAGTTTCTATTGTTACATATTTATATTACCATACTGATAGATGTGTTCTTAATTTGATTATTTATCTATTTTAATCTAATTTTTATTTATTCATTTAAAATTTATTATTTTAATCTAGTTTAAATAAATTTACTACAAATAAATTTACGCAATTTTTTAAAGTATATTTTTTATTTATTTTAATTAATTTATTTTGTATTGTGAGTGTATCGTTACACCCCTAGTAGACAGTAAAACTATTGGCACAACAAGCCATAAATTAAAATAGTAATACCAGTTTGCAATCAGTATACCAGACTGTTTTTGTACAAGCTAAAATAACCAAAACTGTCTGAAACCGGAAGACTCACACATTCACGCATTCACAAAAGGCTCATTCTTGCGTTATAAGTGAGCTGTGAGGTGTTTGTGGTCGCTCATAAGACGGTGTACCTTCATTCTAGAGCAGGGCGCATGAGCGCGGCTCTCTGAACGGGTTACTCCCGGCCGGGACACCAACCAGCAGCGCGTCTTTACTGGCGTTCTGCAGGCAGTACTGCTGTAGATCCGCAGCGGCTTGAGAAACCTGCATTACAAACACACTCAGATCAAACGGAGAAGGAACTGTGTGTCAGCGATTTCTAAATGACTAAATCAATGACTGCTTGTCATAATAAATGTGCCCTCTATTGCACAAAATTGGAAGAAATGAACCATCCTGATATCTGGCCTCTTAATATCCCTTTTCTGTTTTTACAGTGCCAGAAATTTCAATTATATATATATATATATATATATGAAGAGTTTATTTGCAAAAACAGATAACTCCGTTTTCTTTCATTTTCAAAAATCATGTTTTTTATTATATTGTAATGTTTTTATTGTGTTAGTTAGCTAGTATTTATTAGTTATTTTTTACCTAATCAAAATAACCCAACTGCAATATTAATATTAATAATTTTAGAGATTCAAATTATATTACTGATCATCATCTGCCATAATTGTCTTTGTATTAGTCTGATCTTGAAAAATACCAGACCTTATTTTTCAGTTTTCTACTATATATAGTATATATTATAATAATTTAAATTCACTGAGCATATGATCTGTTTTAATAATAAAAAAACTGTAGTTGCAAACAGTAAGCTGTGGCATTATCTGCCTCCAATATCAAACCAAATCAGACCAATAATAATAATAATAATAAGTGAAATTAAACAAACCATAAGGAAGATGATTGCTCATTCATATCCAGCCATATTCTGCTGCTTTGCTGTATATCATATTTTAGGATATTTGTGAACAGCATTGTCATATTTAAAAAAAAAAATAATGATCACATCCACACATTTCTGCTTGTTTTGAATGTGAATGAAAATCGTTCTAACAGCTATCCATTAATACTAGACAAACACAATTAAGAGCAGAAGTAGTGTTAAATATTATTATTTATCTCATATCTGCAGATGCTGCTATTATAAACAAACGCATACATGAGAATTAGAAACTTTTAGTGATATAAACTGAAGTTATCTTTTGAAATCGTCCAGCATCTCTGTATATTGAAGGAAATACCACTTACTTCTGAGTGCTGAGACTTACTTTGATTCTGTCCACGCTGGCTTCGAGTTTGAGCTGCTCAACAGTCCGTCTCATGCTCGTGAGGTTTGAGTTTGAAGACATGATGATGATGATTCCTCAGAGTCAAGCTCTCTCAGGGCAGATGAAGGAGTGTCTGAGGAGAGCGAGCTGCTTCATCTGTTGATTTCCAGGCAGAAAGAGACTGTGTGGGCGTGGCTGTGGGCGTGACGGTGGGCGTGGCTGTGGGCGGGGTGCGCTGTGTTATCTTGGGCTGAATATGTACGGAATCAAATCCACGCCAAAACATGTTCGCGAAAGAACACACACACACACACACACACACACACACACACACAAAACAAATTCTGACAATGTAAAAACAGAAATGTTATATTGAGAGGTCATGATGATGCCAGATAACAGGATGGTTTATTTTTTTTCCAGTTTGTGCAATATTTTTTTTGTGCTTTTTTCCTCCAAAACTTTTTCTTTTGCAATACTTTACTGTTTTTCAACAGTACTGTCTTTTTTCATTTGAGATCATTTTAGAAAATTTTCTGGACATAAACATTTCTTAAGAGCCTTTATTAACATTAACTTTTTATTAACTTTTTAATATAAGCTTTTCATTAACAGCCTATTTTTAGTCTACCTTTTATATAATTGTATGTTTTTATTATTATTTTCCTAACGTATTTTCTTATTTAATTTTTTTCTATGACAAAGGAATTATTTATTATTATCATGTGTATTTTCCAGCGGTTTTTAAAATTATTTCATTATTTTTATATAATATTTTTCTATTATTATATATTATATTTATTAAAAATATTTTCATTTAAGTGTAAACTAATTATTTTATCAAATATATAAATGATGAAATCTGAAATAAAAAAATCACTATTTATTTTTTATTTTATTTTATTTTATACTGTCTTAGGGCTTTTGCCACGATGAAGACCTTTATTATGAAATTATTTCCGGTTAGACTGTCATCACAATAGCAGTTTTCACATTAACTGCTCTCTCTTCCGGTGTAGCGCTCGTCCAACCCGTCCATCATCAGTCATAACATTTATTATTTATTATAAAGGTAAAGCGTTTGCTGTCGTTGTGATTGCGCGCAGGAGATGTGGCATGACGTCATAACGCTCGTGTGTTGCGTGTAGAATAAACGCTTTTACGTGACGATAGCAACGGAGTCGGCGTCCATAGAAACAGGTTTCGTGAAATTTGTTCTCATTCGATAAATGTGACCCTGGACCACAAAACCAGTCATAAGGGTCAATTTTTGAAATGGAGATGTATACATCATCTGAAAGCTGAACAAATAAGCTTTCCATTGATGTATGGTTTGTTAGGATAGGACAATATTTGGCTGAGATACAACTATTATGAATATATGTATATATGAAAATCTGGAATCTGAGGGTGCAAAAAAATCTAAATATTGAGAAAATCATCTTTAAAGTTGTTCAAATGAAGTTCTTAGCAATGCATATTACTAATCAAAAATTATTGGCATAAAAGAAAAATTTATAATTTTGACCCATACAATGTATTGTTGGCTATTGCTACAAATATACCCCAGCGACTTGAGACTGGTTTTGTGCTGCAGGGTCACATACGTGAATTAAAAGTTCTATTTTGATTACTATTGCATAAGCCAATTAAAACAGAACGCTGTGATGTGTGTTTATACAGTATAAACTCCTGAGTGATGATCTGAAGCTCTCAGACTGATGGAGCTGCTGCCTATTCTCGAGCCGGAGGAGCGGCCACAGAGCAGACAGTGGTATCAGCTGTTGTGAATTACTGTTATCTGTGTGTGTGTGTGAGAGAGAGAGTGTGTGAGAGAGAGAGAGAGAGAGAGAGAGAGAGAGTGTGTGTGTATGTGTGTGTGTGAGAGAGAGAGAGTGTGTGTGTATGTCTGTGAGTGTGTGTGTGTGAGAGTGTGTGTGTGAGAGTGTGTGTGTGCATGAGTGTGTGTGTGTTTGACAGCTGTCTGTTTCTCTCACAGGTATGTCGTGGTGCCCACAGGTGCCGGTCCTGGTGTTTCTGTGGGTCACACCTGCACATTTCTGCCCTCCAGTGATGCAGGAAAGGGACGGATTGTAATTGTCGGTGGAGCCAATCCTGATGGCAGCTTCTCTGATTCTTACATGATCAATCTAGGTAGTGCGCTCACTTCAGCATGCTGCATGAATAGGGTACAAACTGAGTCCTGTTACAGTTTAAAGCAGTAAAGACACAAATCCAGTGTTCTTCAGAGACAGTCTGTTGGTAAATAAACTAGGAAACGCAAGGAGTGACATAAACTGTTGAAAGTTTAGAGAAAAATGGTGTGCAAAAAGGTAAAATAAATAATAATATTAAAATTAATTGAAAAAATTTGTTAGTTTGCATTAATAGATGAATAAAAAATTGGAATAAAATTGATTAAAATAAAAAATAAAATGTAGATTAAATTAGATTAATACAAATAATACTTTAGACATGTTTATAACGTCATATTTTTAGAGTATAAATTGGGTGTTTATTCAAGAAACTATATAGATGCCTTTTAAATTTTAGGATCAGGGTCCCTTACATGAGAATGATCATATTTGGGGATCCATAGCATCTAAAAGATAGAAAACCCCTGATATGAACAATCTAACTTTAAAATTAATTGATTTAATTAATTAAAAAATAAAATAAAATTTGTATTTATATATAATATAATAAAATAATACATATAATTACATATATTTGTGTATGTTAACATTACTAGTGCATTGTAAACTAACAATGAACAGTAGCATATTTGTAAACACAAACAAACAAATGCAGAAAAAACATTAATTGTAAGTTCACAATATGTATTGCATGTAATTAATGCATTAATTAACAGTGTACAAAACTTACAATGTGTTTAATCAACATCAGCATTTTTGGTTTAATTTATATAAATGTATTAACTATATATTTTTAAGTGTCTTTAACCATTATTAATCACATTTTATAATTCATTGCATGTAGTCTCTCAGTTAATATGAGCCCATGAAATCTGCAGTTATGTAACATATTGCCTTGTATTTTTTTGCAGATGCTCATGAATGGGACATTCCAGACTGGGTCGGGCTTCAGGCGCGTTATGAACACTGCAGCTTTGTTCCCGAGAGCGACCCGCAGAGTCTGTGGGTGTTTGCTGGAGCCGAGAAGAACGGGAACCGCAACTGTGTTCAAGTGTTGCGCACATCAGGTTATTAAACGCTGAATATTACCAGACAAGACATGACATGTATTAAACACTACTAATAACATTAGGTATAATTAAGGCCTTTTTAGTGTTTTTGCTGCATTTATTTGATAAAAAATACAGTAAAAATTGTTCAATATTATTACAATGTAAAACAGCTGTTTTCTATGTGAATATCTGTTAAACTGTAATTTAAAAAGCTGTATTTTCACTGGAGCATCATTACTCCAGTCTTCAGTGTCACATGATCTTCAGAAATCAGTATAATATGCTGATTTGCTGCTCAAGAAACATTTCTGATTATTATCAATGTTGAAAACAGTCGTGCTGCACAATATTTTTGTGGAAACTGATGCACGACCATTCAAAAATTTGAGATGCGTAAGATTTAAAAGATATCTATTCCGAATAAATGCTGTTCTTTTGAACTTTCTGTTCATCTGTGAATCCTGAAAAATAAAATGCATCACAGTTTCCACAAAAATATTGTGCAGCACGACTGTCTTCAACATTGATAATAATCAGAAATGTTTCTCGAGCAGCAAATCAGCATATTAGAATGATTTCTGAAGATCATGTGACACTGAAGACTGGAGTAATGATGCTGAAAATACAGCTGCGCATCACAGAAATAAATTACAGTTTAACAGATATTCACATAGAAAACAGCTATTTTACATTGTAATAATATTTCACAATTTTTACTGTATTTTTGATCAAATAAATGCAGCCTTGCTGAACAGAAGAGTCTTACAAAACACTGATATATCTGAATTATTCCAAACTACGCTGTATGTTATCTATAATGCTGTACTTCGTGCAGCTGATGCTGAAGGCCGTGGTTCATGGCAGACGGTTCAGGCGAAAGGAGCGGCTCCGACAGTCAGGACGTACCATACAAGCTCCGCTTGTGTCAGAAACAGACTCTATGTGTTTTCTGGAGGAGACGCTGGAGCTTCGCCTGTCACTGATCCTCAGATCCACGTCTTTGATACGGGTCTGAGAAACACAAAATACTACAGTAGATTCAGGACTGACACAACTGAAGCATGCATCACTGAGAAACTGTGTTTGTTTGCAGTCAGTGCGACGTGGCTGCAGCCGGAGAGCAAAGGGACGCCTCCTGCGCCGCGGCACGGTCACGTGATCACCGCCGTGGGCTCCAACATCTACATACACGGAGGAATGGCAGGAGAGAAGATCCACAGTGACATGTTCCTACTCAACACCGGTGATGCAGCATGCTTTCACAGAAATCATGCATTATGCAATAAGAACATAACATTTACAAGCACAAAAACAATAAACAAAGCAATTCTACAAATGCATATTATATGTATTATGTCATAGACGGCTCTTACAGGCAACTGAATGTTTAGAGTTCCTTAAAGGAGACATATTATGCCCCTTTTTACAATACGTTATATAATTCTCAGGTGCCCCCAGAATGTGTCTGTGAAGTTTCAGCTCAAAATACTCCACAGATCATTTATTATATCATTTTGAAAATGCCTATTTTGAGTGGAAGCAGAAACACGCTGTTTTTCGTGCCTGTCTCTTTAAATGCAAATGAGCTGCTGCTCCCCGCCCCCTTTTCCTGCGCCATTACAGCTAGCACCTGCTAAAAAACATCTGTTTTGGTTCTGATTATCATGTTTATCGCTCTGAAATCATGCGGTTTAAACCATATGAGTTTAAACTTCTGACATACGGTTTTCTGAGCGCACACGGACAGAAAGCGGCTGTCACAGCATGTGAGTACTAGGCTGCAGCAATATACAGTAAATAAATCAATAAATGCACTGCTCTGTTGTCTCTGAGGCTGGGACTCTAAACAGTGTTCTGAGCTCGTCTGTGCAGACAAACACAGAACAGTTAGCATGCTTCACTCAAACTTTCGCCATGGCATTACACCGTTGTCGCTTGCGAACATTTTCATGATATGTCACCTTTAAAGAATCCAAATATTTCTCAACATCTTTCTTGGGAAAAAAAAAATAAAGAAGCTATTTTATTTAAAGGTTAAGTTCACTTTCAGAATAAAAAATTCCTGATAATTTACTCACCCCCATGTCATCTAAGATGTTCATGTCTTTTTCTTTCTTCAGTCGCAAAGAAAACACTTTCCAGGATTTTTGTCCATATAGTGGACTTCAATGGTGGCCAACGATTTGAAAGTCCAAACGTGTCAAATATTAATTTTTTAAAGAAAATGACCGATCGTTTTCGCTAGATTAGACCCTTATTTCTCGGCTGGGATCGTGTAGAGCCCTTTGAAGCTGCATTTTTAACCTTCAATCCGTTGAGCACCACTGAAGTCCACTATATGGACAAAAATCCTGGAATGCTTTCCTCAGAAAACGTCATTTCTTTGCGACTGAAGAAAGACAGACATGAACATCTCAGATGACATGGGGGTGAGTAAATTATCAGGAATGTTTTATTCTGAACTTATCCTTTAACAAAAAATTACATTTATGATTGGATTTATGACCAATTAACTCAGATATTTGGTACTCACTGAGTTTGTGCTGCTGTTTTCCCACCAAACTGATGTCACTTCCTAGAAGACGATGTCATTAAGGAAGTGCCCTTTGTTTTCTGAACAAAGAAAAAAAAATACTGAAAGAACAAGTGATGTTGAAAATATTAAAACCTATAAATTGATCCAATTAAAACCTAATCTTATTTTTTTCTAATATTTTATCCTACAATTTCATCTTTAATAATTAGATTTTAATATTATATATATAAAATATTAAACAACTCTTAATATGATTAAAAGTTTTTAAAACAGTTCTAATATTTTATCCTATTATTTTATGTTTAATAATTAGAGTTTAATCAAAATTATATATATATATATATATAGTACTATAACGTTCATCATATATGTGACCCTGGAGCACAAAACCAGTCATAAGGGTAAATTTTTTGAAATTGAGATGTATGCATCATCTGAAAGATGAATAAATAGCTTTCCATTGATGTATGGTTTGTTAGGATAGGACAATATTTGAAAAGCTGGAATCTGAGGGTGCAAAAAAATCAAAATATTGAGAAAATCATCTTTAAAGTTGT